ACATGATATAGTCGTCTAAAAAACATTTCAATAAATACACAAACACAACGCACGCAAAACATTTAAAATTTAAAGTAGGCCAACTATTAACCGGTCACGGCACGGAGGCAGACTCACTCATTAGTGGAAGTTTGCAGATAAAGCGAAGTCTAAAACACAAAATATAGCGAAACAAATTCAGCAGCATCCGTGAACATCCATGAAGATCACGATGACATCGTAAAATCTCCCGTGACCTTAGCTACATTTGTGAAACCCTCCACAATCATTATATTTACTTGACGCGAAGACGTTAAAAAGAGAGCCGAAAGAAACACCGTTATGAGTGGACGCATGATTGTAGGTTATTACAGCTGATTGTTCAAAATGTACAACTTTTTCAGTTATATTAATTAAACGAACGAATATTTATTTATTTAACCTTTAATCTTCATTTTTACATACCTACCAACTATTCTATATATATTTAACAAACGCATCTTCAAATAATATCACCTCTTATCTCTTCTTTACAACAGGTTTCAATAAATGGTTATGTTGGGTTGATTTCGTTACTGACAGGAAACGGCATTTATCAGTTTTGATTCGGTTATTTACCAAGGGACGTAGAACGCTCTGTTGTATGCATTCGAGTTTTTAAGCCCCTTAGGTTAGTTACCTCATTACACGCTAAAAAGAACTCTATTATCATGTTGATGAGATACCTAAGCACTATATAAGATTGGTTGTAGCTCACTTACACTATCAAAGCGAAGTTTACCAACTTCGGTCAAATTCTCATACTACGCAATAGTCCGTATTATGAGAGTATGTCCAAACATATCAGGTATGCTGAGTTTAGTTTTCCTGCTATAACCTGTTAAAAAGTTAATAAGGGATATTTCAAAATGACTGCCATTTTGATTAGGGGTGCGATATTGACCTCTAGTTTGCGCCATTTAATTTGTTTTGAGAAACCCTTTGAAATGAGGGGTCACATGATAGGTGTTTACATTTGAAAATTTGGTGCTGCCCCCAAAATACCCCATTTTGTGGGCCGGGTACAAGTTCTAACTTGAATGAAAAATCCCATTTTTATGTTTTAAACATGTGCCGAGTTTGATTTTCCCACTACCACGCGTTATAAAGTTAAGGGGGTGTCCAGGCTTTATCTTGGGCTGCCATTTTGATTACGGGTGCGATATTGACCTCTGGTTTGCGCCATTCGATTTGTCTTGATAAACCCTTTAAAATTAGGGTTCACATGATAGGTGTTTACTTTTGAAAATTCGGGGCTGCATTGTAAAAACTGGGGCAAAGTTGTAACTTAGATGAAAAAGTTCCATTTCTTATGTTGTAAATTTATGCCGAGTTTGGTTTTTCTACTGCAACGCGTTAAAAGATTAACTGGGGGATTCCAGACTTTTTCCTAATCCTGTATTCGGCTATAGTTGTGTACGGTACTGCAGAGGCCGTGTTTTGTTTACAATTGGTTTCTTGTTATTTCAGTTATTTAAAACATCATTTAACCAAATAATACGATCTAATCATAAACAATAACTCGTCTCCTATTTATATAACTAAACAGGAAAGCACAAATCAAGATATAATAGAAACACAATTTTGTTGACACTAGCGCCCAGTGTCACCGTACATGAACTAGACACGAAAACGAGCTTCAAGATTTACAATGGGGTAAGAAGTCTACTTGTTTTACTCCTAATGAAGAAATTTGGAAAGTATCAAATTCACTCAACCGGGGAGCGACCTAACATAACATAGCATATAACGTATATAACACAATGTGTACCCTATATCGATTCTTTATCAGCACATATGTTTAATACCCCCGCCGCAGCAAACAAACCTGCACACTAAGCGAATTTCAACTTGTCTGATTACATTTTTACTAAAATATTTCTATAAATAAGACATATTTATTCCAAATTTAAATATCATTAGATTTAACGAGTGCTGCTATGGGGAAGGTAAAAAGTGTGTTTGGACCATATATGTCAATAGTATAGGATGAAATAATTAATTTGCCAAATTTTATCAATATATACCCATAGACAAGTAAACTACAACAGTTTTAATTTTCTCCATAAGAATAACATGAGAATTTTAAATTATACTATTTTTAAATTTTCTCCGTAACCGTTAGGCATACAACAGCGCTTCAATATACTAAATTATTAATTTTTTAAGCTCTTCAAAACGGTTTAAAAAGAAATTGCAAATTTTTTTGTTTTTAGGGTCAAAAAATGGAAAACCCCATTTTTACCCCATAAAGCCCCCCATAAACCCCCGTTCCCATGGTCAGATTATGCTGGATCGCGAACTCGTACGAATAAACGTAGGTTTACACGATTGTACAAAATTTCATCAAAATCGGATCATTTTTGCTCGAGTTATCGCGCTAACGGACACACACATATATATACATATGCATTTGAACGGATGGTGTTTTTGGCCTCTAGGGACCTCAAAACAAAAAATTAAATCCGTCCCGGGTCTAGGTCTTACCATGAGTACTACGGTAATAGCATATTCCCTATATGGTAAATTCACTAAAAACAAACTAACTTCGTTATAGTTTTAGCTGTTCTGACCGGAAAGAAACTATTTCAGCGCTCCAAGCGCCCGGTGTCTGGAACTATCCGAGGCAAGATACACCAACGAGGAAAGAGAGAGGCTAAGATACAACAATGAGGAAAGAGGAGGTAAACTGAGGCAAGATACACCATCGAGGAAAGAGAGAGGCATCTGAGGCAAGATCCACCAATGGATCTTGGTGGATATCCACCAATGTGATATCCACATATCACATTGGATATCTACATATCACACATATCAGTGACAGCTAGAGAAAAATAATCCATCCAAACAGATGTTCGTTATTTCCTAGATGTCGTATTCTCCAAACAGATGATTAGTATTTGATAAAGACGTATGTGGTAGACATGGGGAGAAAACTTGACAAAAATCCACAAAATTGGGTTTTGAACGTCATCAGTCAGGTTATTTCAAAAGTAGCGATGCATGTTTTAATGGCATACACTCTTGCCAATTCAGTGAACACAAAAAAACTATTTAAATCCCTATCGTATTTCGTATTCGTATTTCAGGAGAAGAACTCTTGTTCATTTTTACATGCAAAGACTACGTAAAATGCCTTCTGGGCCATGACAAACAGACAGACAGAAAGTGAGATAACACATTAAAAGTTTTTTAAAGTATAAACTCAAACATAACCGAAAAATACATAATCCTGAACAATGCACAGAGAAAACTCTAATTTTATTTATAGATATTTTATATACACTTTCACTTCTATAAAAGATTTTCTTTATCATGACGCTTGATGAACGGCTCATACACGTAATAATAACTTTCTTAAATAGACAATCCTAACGAACTACTGTTGCAGTAAACTTGCGAATATTTCTTACTTTACTCTTACACATGTTTGAAATTTACATCTTGCATAATACACTACTTTGTGCCTGTTGGCTACTATGAATCGTTCAGATTAATTTAAGATATTAAACTTTGTTGATATACACGAGGTAAATTGACCTCCATGATACCCATAATTATACACAGGTACCATATTACCACACTACAAATTTGATTCAACAATATACGGTACGTAGTTTTATCCAAACAAACGATCAAAAACCCCTAATGAAATTGTTATTTGACTCAATAGTCAATGCATATAAGCGAGTCTTATCTTTCGATGCAGATTAAATAATACAAAGGCAGAGGAATGCGCGAGACCAAGGACAAGGTCACGGCACGGTTGCTATAGAAACGACGAAACTATCTATTAGAATTGCGCGCCAACGTCAACTAAACGCCAGACAGTACAATAAACACGCCGCGTGTGTAGTGTTCGACGGAGCCATAGTACTTTCAGTTGGCAATACTGGCTTCTAGCCTCGAGCGAGGTGGTTCAACCATGAGAAGCGCCTCAAACTCCTGGGTAATCCCCGGTTAGCTCCTCCCACTCTGCCCCCTATCCCCACCTAAAAGACGAGCAAGTGGTAAGTCGGTCGGGTCGATTGACGACAAGTTGGTTTCTCGTATATAATAATTTAGTTTTACAGGCCGGTCAACTGGAATGACGATGAAATAACTTGTCGACGTACTGGTTTTCAGTATTTATCTATTTAATTAAAAAAGACGGTCTAGTGGCCAGACGACCAAGTATCTTGTCGGTCTACTGGTAGGCTCCCCATTTATTCCCTATTTTAATAGAATTAGTTTAACGAGTACTTAGGTTTACTGAAACAGGGAGGGTAAAAGTGATTTTTAAAAAAAAAATGTTAATAGTTTAGTAAAAAATAAATGCTTTTTCCAAATTTAATCAAAATATTTCCATAAACAAGAAAACTACAACTGTTTACTTATTCTCCATAAGGATAACATGGGAATTTTAAATTTACAATTTTTTGGAATTTTCCCCGTAACCATTAGGTGCATAACAGCGCTTCAATATACTAAATTTTTTTTAGCTCTACAAATTGGTTTGTAAAGAAATTGCTAAATTGTATGTTTTATTGGTCAAAAATGGGAAAAACCAATTTTTACCCTACAAAACCCCCCATAAACCCCATTCCCATAGTCCGATCATGCTGGTTCGCGAACTCGTTTGAATAAATTTAGGATTACACGTTTGTACCAAACTTTATCAAAATCAGATCATTTTTGCTTGAGATGGAGCTAACGGACACATATTTATTATATATATATATGAATTTGAAAGTATGGTGTTTTTGGTCTCTAGGGACCTCAAAACGAAAAAGTAAATCGGTCCCGGGTCCAGGTCTTACCATGAGTAATACGGTAATAGCTTATTCCTTATATGGGAAATTCTCTAATATTCCCTATATGGGAAATTCTCTAAAAAAAACCAATCCACTTTTGTTCAACATTTTTTGAGCCAAGTATAATATTGAGAGATGAAGTGCGAATGGTATGATGCCTTTGTAATTAACAGACTGATCTTATTCTAGATGCTGATTGCACTAGCTGGCTTTCTAACTGGATATGATGGAAACTTTCCTTTTGAAAAGCCTGGAGACAAATATGAGAACGTGAACTATGTTGGAATGAGAGTAGTAAGTTGATTGTTAGTATTTTATAAGTGTTATATATGTTTTATTTGTGTTTGTAGCCTCTAGAATTGCTGAATCGTAAAGTAATCCAAGTATGTAATGTAGATTTATTCAGTCCAACCAACTCCAATGCAATGTAATTTGTAATGTTTCTTTAGACCTAATGATTGCTTGGTAAAACTCAAAATATGTACACATAATCAGCATACTAGAAAAGGAATTGCTTGGACTGAATAAGCAGTGTTGGGGAAGCTACTTTTAAAATGTAGCTAGCTACAACTACTGCTACATTTCCAAAAAAGTAGCTTAGCTACAGCTACAGCTACAGTTCCGAAAAAGTAGCTAGCTACAACTACAGCTACAATGAAATGTAGCTACAGCTACAATTTTAGCTACTTTTCCAAAGACGTTACTTTTTATTCCACGCACATTAGGTAAATGTAAAATTCAGAAGTGTATCATTGTATAGGCCTATATACCTACAGGTATATATAGTCAATGATTGTGTCTAACATTACATGGAAAACAAATTATTCCTAGATTGTATTTAATTTGTTGGCATTATATACCTAACATTAAAACAACAGAACCAAATAGTTGGGTTTCCCATCATATTTAGTACTTATTTTTAAATATTGCATTATTTTTAAGCATCTTGTATGTAAATTTCATTAAGTTTAAAGGACATAGACCTACAACCAAACTATATTTTAAAAGCTCATTTTATTTCTTTAGTATAGATTCATTTATAGATGTCTTGTATAAACAATTAAGACCAATAAAACTGTAATACGATTATTTAAAAATACTTGTTGGTGTTACAGAGCCTAAGTTAGCCTACTGAAATTGGAGTTTATTGCCTTTCTTAACTTTTAATGTTAAAAACGACATTGTTATAACTTTTAACCAAAGTGATAAGTTACTTGTTCAATAATAACACTTTTCAATGTCAAGAAATCGTCCTTTATTGTCATTATGCATAGGGCAAATTGCAAATTGTGCTTAAACCTAGTTGGTACAGAAAACAGTATTCAGCAACTTATCCTGAAATCGGCTTTTAATTTAAACATGTGGAAATTTGTAAAGTAAAAATAACATATTGGCAAACTTGGAGTTACATAGCCAAGTAGGCCTATATGTTATTTTTACTTTTACTTTTAGTTGGCTATAGTCGGCTTGTTCTTGCAAGGACTAAACAGATATATTCCTAATAATTGAACTTGGAACTTGGTATTCGTCTTAAACCATAGCATAGCCTAGGATTAGCCTATACAAGAGCTGTTACCAGGAGCAAACTGTGCTATTTTTTCAATGTAAGTTTCATGTTATATGGATATTTTTTCGTTACAATTATCATTTAGTCTAGGTATATCTTAAATCACATCAGGTAATTTCTTCTTTGTTAATTTAGTAAACCTTTGAAAAATCTTCGTAATCTAGCCAAGGAAGGGCTTGTGATGATGAACCACAATCAACAGCTGAAGCAAACAAGCAAAGGTTGATAGACCAGTTTTCTCATTATTTTGAGGTTTAGTGTTGGTTTCCATTAAAACCCAAGTTGAAACACTATCGATATAATAAAGGAACTAAATTGATTACTAATTTCCCTGTCAATCACTTGCAAGCATTCAATAGCTTCTCTTGTCACCGTCACCTCCCACCGGTAACGTTTAAAAGTCGTCTGCATCTAGGGATGTTGCGATACTATCGATACCAGTAGGTATCGATACTTTTATTGCGATACTGCTGGTATCGTATCGGTATCGGTTGTTCCGATATTTACGTGGTATCGATACCAAGAGGCCAGTATCGTATCGTAAGTATCGGAAGGTCATTTCTGACAAATCTGAGTAAAATGGCTACGCTCGTGCCTTCTGAGCGGTTGTTTTACAAGGCTGGAGCAACAGTGACCCAAAATACCCCCGCCGCAGCAAAACTGCAGACTAAGCGAATTTCAACTCGTCTGATTACATTTTTACTAAAATATTTCCATAATTAAGACATATTATTCCCTATTTAAATAACATTAGATTTAACGAGTGCTTAGGTTTGCTGCTACGGGGAAGGTAAAAAGTGTTTTTTGACCATACGTCAATAGTAGGATGAAATAAATAAATTTGCCAAATTTTATCAATATATACCCATAAACAAGTAAACTACAACAATTTTCATTTTCTCCATAAGAATAACATGGGAATTTTTAATTACACTATTTTTGAATTTTCTCCGTGACCATTAGGCATACAACATCACTTCAATATACTAAATTATTTCTTTTTTTAAGCTCTACAAAATGGTTTAGAAAGAAATCGCAAAATTTTTTGTTTTTAGGTTCAAAAATGGGAAAAACCCATTTTTACCCCATAAAACCCCCCATAAACCCCCGTTCCCATGGTCCGATTATGCTGGATCGCGAACTCGTTCGAATAAACGTAGGTTTACACGTTTGTACCAAATTTCATCAAAATCGGATCATTTTTGCTCGAGTTATCGCGCTAACGGACACATATATATATATATATAAATATATATCTAAATATATATATATATATATGAATTTGAACGGATGGTGTTTTTGGCCTCTAGGGACCCAAAATACCCCCGCCGCAGCAAAACTGCAGACTAAGCGAATTTCAACTCGTCTGATTACATTTTTACTAAAATATTTCTATAATTAAGACATATTATTCCCTATTTAAATAACATTAGATTTAACGAGTGCTTAGGTTTGCTGCTACGGGGAAGGTAAAAAGTGTTTTTTGACCATACGTCAATAGTAGGATGAAATAAATAAATTTGCCAAATTTTATCAATATATACCCATAAACAAGTAAACTACAACAATTTTCATTTTCTCCATAAGAATAACATGGGAATTTTTAATTACACTATTTTTGAATTTTCTCCGTGACCATTAGGCATACAACATCACTTCAATATACTAAATTATTTCTTTTTTTAAGCTCTACAAAATGGTTTAGAAAGAAATCGCAAAATTTTTTGTTTTTAGGTTCAAAAATGGGAAAAACCCATTTTTACCCCATAAAACCCCCCATAAACCCCCGTTCCCATGGTCCGATTATGCTGGATCGCGAACTCGTTCGAATAAACGTAGGTTTACACGTTTGTACCAAATTTCATCAAAATCGGATCATTTTTGCTCGAGTTATCGCGCTAACGGACACATATATATATATATATAAATATATATCTAAATATATATATATATATATGAATTTGAACGGATGGTGTTTTTGGCCTCTAGGGACCCAAAATACCCCCGCCGCAGCAAAACTGCAGACTAAGCGAATTTCAACTCGTCTGATTACATTTTTACTAAAATATTTCTATAATTAAGACATATTATTCCCTATTTAAATAACATTAGATTTAACGAGTGCTTAGGTTTGCTGCTACGGGGAAGGTAAAAAGTGTTTTTTGACCATACGTCAATAGTAGGATGAAATAAATAAATTTGCCAAATTTTATCAATATATACCCATAAACAAGTAAACTACAACAATTTTCATTTTCTCCATAAGAATAACATGGGAATTTTTAATTACACTATTTTTGAATTTTCTCCGTGACCATTAGGCATACAACATCACTTCAATATACTAAATTATTTCTTTTTTTAAGCTCTACAAAATGGTTTAGAAAGAAATCGCAAAATTTTTTGTTTTTAGGTTCAAAAATGGGAAAAACCCATTTTTACCCCATAAAACCCCCCATAAACCCCCGTTCCCATGGTCCGATTATGCTGGATCGCGAACTCGTTCGAATAAACGTAGGTTTACACGTTTGTACCAAATTTCATCAAAATCGGATCATTTTTGCTCGAGTTATCGCGCTAACGGACACATATATATATATATATAAATATATATCTAAATATATATATATATATATGAATTTGAACGGATGGTGTTTTTGGCCTCTAGGGACCCAAAATACCCCCGCCGCAGCAAAACTGCAGACTAAGCGAATTTCAACTCGTCTGATTACATTTTTACTAAAATATTTCTATAATTAAGACATATTATTCCCTATTTAAATAACATTAGATTTAACGAGTGCTTAGGTTTGCTGCTACGGGGAAGGTAAAAAGTGTTTTTTGACCATACGTCAATAGTAGGATGAAATAAATAAATTTGCCAAATTTTATCAATATATACCCATAAACAAGTAAACTACAACAATTTTCATTTTCTCCATAAGAATAACATGGGAATTTTTAATTACACTATTTTTGAATTTTCTCCGTGACCATTAGGCATACAACATCACTTCAATATACTAAATTATTTCTTTTTTTAAGCTCTACAAAATGGTTTGGAAAGAAATCGCAAAATTTTTTGTTTTTAGGTTCAAAAATGGGAAAAACCCATTTTTACCCCATAAAACCCCCCATAAACCCCCGTTCCCATGGTCCGATTATGCTGGATCGCGAACTCGTTCGAATAAACGTAGGTTTACACGTTTGTACCAAATTTCATCAAAATCGGATCATTTTTGCTCGAGTTATCGCGCTAACGGACACATATATATATATATAAATATATATCTAAATATATATATATATATATGAATTTGAACGGATGGTGTTTTTGGCCTCTAGGGACCTCAAAATGAAAAATTTAATCTAAATTTAATTTAATTTAAGGTTGGCTGTGTTTGGTTAATTTTAATTTTATCAATTTTTTACATAATTAAGTAGGTAGGTCTTAGCAGCTCGAATAAACATTTTATATTGGCTGTACTGTACTGGAGCGAGTGAACTAATCAAAGATCAGACAATCGGAATATGACGTCACTGGTATCGAATGGATACGATACTGATGGTATCGATACTTTGGTTCCGATACTGAGCCGGTATCGATACTTTTTTGCGATACGGTATCGATACCAAATATCGGAAAGACAGTGGTATCGCAACATCCCTACTGCATCTAGCGATTTTATTTAATCTGACAGTAATCATAGAGTAGTAAATTAAGGAA